AACTTTCTGTAAGTTGCCTACATTGAATGTCACGAATATCTAGAGTCGTTACATATTGTGGTATTACTTTTCAGAATTGTCAAGGTAAGTAAATCTAATAAAATCGACTTAAACAATAGGGCTTTATTCATCGATTCCTCAATTGATAAAGCTTCAGATTTCCAGAGAATTGATTGTCATGGTATTAGGCCATAAGTAAAACCACATTCATCTGCAGTAGTGCTTTACAAAATAAGTATAATCGTTAACATCGATCAAATCTCTTCCATTTTGCATATCTACATGTTTAACATAACCAGCGTAAAACGAAAATGTATTTTTATCTAGCTGAATAAACTACATAACCTGGGCCAACAGAACGTTTCATGTCTCAAGAAAATTTTAAAAGAAATCGTAAATCACATCATTGTTCCTTATTTCCCTACAAGGGCTCCTAGATAAGTATAAATGCAGTGCACAACAATAGCGATACTTTATGCAAAGCACAAGGAACATGTAAATAGTGTAAACCTTCGCGGAGCTAGGTGACACAATAAACAATACCGCCTCATCGTAACAAAGAAAGTTGGCACGGCATCAAAGGCGGTACATAGCTCGTTATGACTGGTACAGTACGGCGTACGACCTTCACCTCACCGAGTCACCACGACCAGGGGAAGCTACCACCGACTCTCCACCCTCCAGTTTTAGTCACAACAAACAATGGCTGCGTCATGACAGGTCCTCCCAAGGTCGACATTGTCATACCCGATGAACTAATACCACGTACCCGTTAAATTTCCCGATGTATCGATAAATACTAGTTGGTACCGGGAAAGGGGGTACAATAGCTGATAATGCTTGAACGTGCCAAGGTTGCACAACGAATTTATGTAGACATTTGTTTATTTGTATGAATCAGGTGCGATCGTAGTGAGCTATCGCCTCTCCTTATAATGTGCTGACCACAAATGGATGTAGCAGCTGAAACGGTGGACAACGATAAGCAAATGCAAATCTCTTGGGGAACCCGGCAAAATTATTTATCAACGTCGCAAGGACGTTTATGGAATTGTAAAATATGCCTAAAACATATTCTGGTTATATAGGATAAAATACATACATAAAATAGTAAAATTAATGTAACATTTTAGCATAAGGTTTTGTGAAAAAAACTCTGTAAGTACTCCATACATGTATATAATTTAATTGAGACAAATGGGGTAAAAGTTACAAAGTCCTTCCTCTGAAAGTGAGTCAAACCAAAAGAGAACAGGTGTAACATATAATAATGTGTATTGTTTTACTTTAAATAACATCTCTCTTGGTTGGCTAATAGTCTAATTGAGACTGAAATAAAAATTTATCTGGCTTTAATTATAATGATACTTCTATAGTATATACTCGAGAAAAGGATTTATAAAAAACGAAGGACATTTAGAATAGATGTTGGTATAATATTTTACTATACTGTGAAATTCAAGGAAGTGAACAAGGTTCCTTTGTAAATAAATAGATCATGCAACGATAGTCGGTACTACGTCGTTGCTTTGGTCGACACGAGCTTGTGTTATAGATGTTGAATATTCAACCACTGATGGTGCAATAGCTCCATAATATTACGAACAGTTGATTTAATTTCCCTTATTAAAGAGTCAATAGTCTTATTGTAAGTACAGCGACACGTTTTAACGTAATTGATACGAGTAACACGAAGCTCGTAAATTATGTTTCTCATTCGTAGTTTGTATCTATGGTTCAATGTATGTATATCAGGTTCCGATTATCACTATTCTTGGCATTGTGCCAACCGCAAGTTGTCGGTAAATTAGTTCCTGTCAGAAAATCCCGAAGACATTTTGGTTTTATCATGTAAACAAAAATACCTACTGGTATCGATATTGTAGAACTCAAGACTCCATGAGATCTTCATTTTCTACATATGTTAAAAATAGAAATACAATAAAAAAGATTATTTTCTAATCCAAGTAGTTTTAAAATCAATAAGAATTTTTATTTGAACTTCTTGTTAGGTAAATAACGCCTGTTATCTGCGTGTGTGATTCTGTTCTTCCTTCCTTAACAATTATTTCAATAGTTTTTAGTGTTTACAATTTATTTTAGTTCAATGAAGTAGTACGCAATAAGTCAACGTGGCTTCGGCCTGCAGCAGGAGAAGGAACGGCCATCCTGTAATTAGAAATAGAAATCAATGTGAGGATTATGACCACCTTAAAAAACCATATTTGGTATGGGGACAGTTTATGCCAATTTCATGCTAAATATGGATAAATTAAATTATAATAAATATCAGTAGCCACTTGAAGCATTAGTCATAACTTGTTGTACTTGTTGTAAGTACACAAATGTATGTATACGAGTGTTTCACTTTTAATTTATATCACGAGAAATCATCAAATGTATTGGACTTACCGGGAATCAGCGGTTCCACTTACGTACATAGCATATTCATCAATAATGGATGTAATTATTGAGGTTTAACTTTATAATGGTGTGTGCTAGTTCATTTTGTATAATAAACTGACATATTCTCTAGAAGTAGAGCGCTATGGAAAATTTTAGTGGGTTTTATTCTATCGGCATTCCCCATAGAGTAGTCCAAAAGATCCAAGTTCGTTTATCGATTCAAAACTCTCGATCTCTGACGTTTTTACCTTTATCAGAATATCTGATTGAGTTGAATAAGCTTAAGAAATTAAGCAAATTATAAAAAAAAAGACTTCAAACTCTTTATTCAACCCTAAAATACACTATAAAAGCTTGAAATCAAATATTAAGTAGGTAAATACGTACTTTATTACATAGAAACAATCCCTTATATTCAGGAAAAAAAATCTTACATTTCTTAAATAATAGTTAGTTTTTAGAAGTAGGTAATTGTTTAATTTTGTTTTGTAGTTATTTTGAATAGCCTATTATATATGTGGGGTGAATATCTACATATGTTTTTTCTCGGAATGGCCTAATGGCCAGTGTTCAATTAACTGGGAGGAACAGAATCTAGTTGGAAACACAATGGACTAACATTTAATGATGATGACATTAAAGATCAATCGAAATATTCTGCTGGAGGAAAATATAGTTATTTTAAATGAATTATTATCAAGAAACGTGGCACGATTGTTACTTATGTAATGGAGCAGCTCATGTACTTACTAGTGATTTTCCTTTTATCCTGCATCGCTAGTAATGGCATGTAATTAGAGCTATGGCTAACATTTTCTCTGTCCATTGTTCTCAATTAGGTGATAATTCAATTATAATTCGATCGTTTTTATTGCAACTAGTTTAGTTCATTAACATAACGGTTGCATTTACGCAATGTTACCTACATGATAGACACAAGTAATAAATAGATAGTTATTCAGATAAAATTATAAATAATAGAACACGAAAAGAATGCTTTATTTTTGTGACCTTTCGAAAGTCTGTAAAATGTCAGTTGGAACTTAGGATTCTAATGATTACCTACATTAATTTTATTTAGGCACGTGTAGGAATGATAACAATGTTAGTGAGTAACTTTAGAGATGTTATCGAATTCAGTGGATTCCTGTGGTGTATCGTCATGATCCATGCGTATCATGTAAAATTTAAGAAACTGGAAATGAGTGTCATAAAGAACAAGTTAAGTATTCAACGAAAGCGCATAAAGTTTTCCTGTAAAGTTGCAGCGCGTACAGGGGCGGGCGGAGGCTTCGTGCCCGCGCCGTGGGGTGGGGGCCGAGCGCGCGACTTCGGTTATAAGCTGAGCGCGGAGCCGCGGCGCACACTCAGCCAAACTCGCGGTCTGCGGTAGGTCGTGTCACGCGGTGGCGCAACGATCGCAGCCGTTCCCGCCACATAAACGAACACATTTTCTTTGAAATTTCGTGCAATTGCAAAGAAAAAAGTGAACAAAGCGGGACCTTTCGGTGTCTTCACAGTGCCTTGTGATTGTTGTTTACACATGAATAGACTATTTTTTATCGATATTTTTACAAATTTCGGTAGTAATAGAGGAACGAGACGTGGTCGCACTAGTGGAACGAAGACTGACGTTTCAAGTAGTGAGGATTACGTGAACTTCGCCCTGGACCAGTCTAACAGGTTAGTTTATAAAATTTCCGTGTTGTTTGTACTACACGTGTGATTAGAGACAAAGGACAGGCGGCTGATACATTGATTACAGCCGTCGTAATTATCTGTAAAGTAACTTTATTGCCTGTTTACATGAAGATGATTAATGAATAAAAAAACTAACTAGCAAGTCTGTGCTGTCAGACAATTATTTTGATTCCAAACAACTCTCTACACTTGAAGTTCTGTCATCGATCTGACAATAACATGGAGTTAACTTACAGATAACTAGATAAAACAAACTGTTTCACGTGATTCCTTCACCTATTTCTAAAGTTAATTCACGTAGTCTATGAAATCTGTGCAATTTGCAATAATTGAAATCTGTGATCTGGAGTATTGCCGGTTTGGTGTCACGGTCAGAGGCTGACATTGTCGAAACTAGCTACGGTACACTAGTTCTATCGTAGTAAACCCTACGCCTGAACGCACCGGCTTAGACTGACCTCTGTCCCATCACTCGTGTGTTATGATAACTTTGTTTTACATAATCGAAGATAATTGAATAACTGCATCCACATATACAACTTATAAACAACTACATCGTAATACAATAATTATATGTATATGTATATTTTCGTATACAATCTAAGCTTTGTGAAAAACATAATCTGGGCGTCACGTAGACCTGGTTGTCATCAATTGATAAAGTTTTCACTGAGATAAGTTAACGTGTGACAGATGCAGAAAGTCACTTTCTTTGTCAAATATTTGTTCAGGTTTATAATAACAAGTACACACAAATGAAAAAGATTGTTGTCTGAAGAAAGAGGCGAAGCGTGCGCTCCGTGCCTGTTATCAGATAATTTTCGTGGATAAGGACATAAATATTATCTAGCTGATAACGCTAAGATCTGTATGAACTCATTCTTTGAGCATTCCTTTAGTTTACTATAGGTACTTGTGCCGTGAAGCATGTATTGATAAATTCAATATTGAATTATTGATAAAGCAGTGTGTAATCATAAAGCGATTTTGTAAAAGGGTTTTCGGTTTGTTTGAGTTTCTGATATTGAAAGTTAATGTTGATTTTATTTGTTTAATCTTGGATCCTCGAATTATATGAGGTAGGTGCTTTAAAATATTTGTGTGTCACCTATGATATTTACATATATGTGTTGTAGAAGTTTCAAAATAAATCTAATTTGGCGATTAATTGTTCTATTTATGTCATACATATTTTTATGACGATATTTTAAAACCTTTGGAAAATACAAATGTAACCGAATGAATCGAAAACCGGTCTGCAATTATCATGTTGAGAGTATTTTATACAGAATATAGTAGGTGACAAGGATGGTCTAAGTAGTAAACAAACATGTTGGTGTATGTGCCGGCTGTGAGTCACAGAGTGGCAACACTGGCCGCCGAACTTGACACGAAACGTTCGGAGTAAAAGCACGGGATCATTAATTATACAGTCGTGTGGTCGCCACTTAAACTCATTGTTAAACGTTAAACAAAAAAAAACCTTTCTCCATTATTTTGTACGTAAAATATTTCACCTTGAATGCTGCTTTCTTTTAATACAAACTCGTGTTATTCCGCGCAAATAGAGGTCAGATTTTTATTCGTAGAGCAGTCGAAATGACGGATTAAAAAATCAATAATAACAAAAAATGTAAAAATGTTACTGTGATAATTTATTTTAATACAAAAAATACTAAAATATTTCTACATGGCTAATTGTCATTGCAATTAACTTACACGCAACAATTGTGTTTGTACAAACAAGTGATAGGAAAGTGGGTCTTTGTTCACTTGGAGCTTCGAACAGAAGTATGATTCAAACTTTAATACAAGTCGATACGTATCATTCATACCTACAAGCTACGTTTTTGTTTAGACTCTGATAAATTAGACGTCATAAAACAATGTACAAGGAAATGATTTCCTTTATTCTTACAAGGCAGCAGAAACATATAAGTACCTAGTATGCAAATACATGTGCATAATAAACCACAAATTAGTTATATTATATTCCCGCACTGCAATGACCTAAGCTGTACATTAGTAATATTAACAATACTGGTGTCTATTCACTATAATTGACGTCTGTAGGGGTGATGTGTAGCTGTGACCCTGAGGATTGTTCAACCAAAACATTGTTTGACTCACGCTGCGGTAGTTTCCACCGTAACTGCGTTCAACAGTATGTTGACGAGGAAAACAGAAGATGGAAAGTGTCCCAAAGTATAAAAGTTATGTGGTAGCTACGTACCCAGAGAAAACATGTTCCGTTGTATAAAGTGACTTCAAAATTATTTTCCCTTAAATGCACGAACGTATCGGTAAAGAACCTGTTCAGGCAGCTGTGTTCCATATACAGATAAAACAATATAATTTCTACTATCAAAGGTTTTAATGTGACTGTAATATTGCAAATAAACACGCAGTACAGTACATAAGTATGGCATGATATAGCGATAATAGTAAGTTATTAGTATTGCCCGCGAGGATCCGGAAGCAGGAAGCGTTCCAATGTCGTGTCAATGCGAAACGGCGCAGGCGCACGTCACCGGGACCACACGGTACAGCACTCATTGAGATGCATCTCAGAGTAACACACGCCATTAATACTTGCCGCATGTACAATGAACTGATGATGTCAGGCGCGAACTTTAAAGGCTGCGATATCACTTTGTATATCGTGAAATTATGAGGAGCCCAAATTCTGCCTATCCTTGTATGATAACGTGGTATAACAATAAATACACCCAATATTCTACAAAGATGTAGCCAATGTGCCGCACTTTCGTCAACTATTCGTATTGATCCTACCAACGAATAATGATACAACTTTAATAATTTAAATATCATCAACACCAATAAGCTAAAGTGGAAGAAAAGTTCTGAAATTACAAGTTTAAGTGTCGACCTTTCAAACTTATGAATTAAATAATACTACTACTACTAATAATAAAGATAAATGAAACCAAGTTGAGATAAAATTTATTTAAACTTCTTTTTCTAGGTATTTTATTAAATTAATAATGAAAAACAAGGGAATACCCAAAAGAGTTCGTAAATATGATAAAAAATATAAAATAAATAAAAAACTTAGTAGTTATCACTGTTTTACGTGAATCTTAGTTAATCTTAGTTTTTATACCGATAAAGTTCAAAATGTCGTATAGGTCAGATATTGTTTTGTCATTTGTATTGTTTATTTTTTGCTTCTTCAATGTAGGTACCTTATTAGTAGTTTATTCGTAGTCAAAATAAATTTGTACAATATAGCTGCTTTATAGAAAAGAAAAAAAAAGTCAATTCTTCAAACGTTTTAAATAATATTCATTCCTAAAACATTTAAAAGATCACTGGTTATATCAATCTTCTTAGAAAAAGGCAAAGTCTAAAAAACTTATTCAACGTTTTAAAACTGCATTTGATTTTTATATTATTAAAATATTTTTATTATTAACGTTTTATTCCAAAATATAATAAAAAAAACATTCGATTTTGAATTTTGGAACACTAGAACACAATTTGATGTCGTTAAATCATAGCAAATCAACTTACCGTTTATTCTTATCCAGTCAGATAAATAAACATACAGTTGATTAACTATTTTCAATGAAATGATTTGTCTTGACATCATGTTTACACAGTCCCCGGTTATAGATTGCGATTTTATTGTCGGGGTCAGATCGATTAAGTTGTAATTAAATCTAATCAGTTTCACTAAGATAACTGAAAATGTTTAGGTTCAATTGAATGCAATAGTTTTGCTTGTATAGAAAAAAACTTGGAGTAAATGATGTTAGGTAAGAGATTCGAATCCAATGTCGGTGAAACCGGCGCGTCACCTCCGAGCCGTCACGCTTCGGAGAGCGTAACATTGCTGGCGACACTTCTGTTAGATCCGCGCTTTCAGTTCGGGTTTTGATTGTATACGTCTATCAAAACAATACAACATCAACATTTACCAGGATCAAATCAATCACAAGCAATAATTTACATAATTAGAGTCATCAGTGCATTGTTTCCATGCAATACGAGTGCAGGAAGATATTATGTAACCGCAGAACTCGTTACTAACAAAATTATCAGTCTCCTTGAATAGTGTGAGATAACAAGTAGGTATCATAATTATTATGTGTAAATAAGTCAAACCAAGTCAAATTGTAACCGTTTGTAAAACTACCATCAGTGTCCGTAGCTTAATTCTTCCGCTTTGTTTAGCAAGTGATTAAGTCCGCGGTGAATCACAAATCTCTTGAGTACACGGACATGCAGGCCAGCTGAATATCTAATCAGTTCCCCACATTGTGTACACTCGAGTCTCGAGCTCAGCTGGGTACAAACAATTTATCATTTTATTACGATAAATGCTAGTCGTCAAGCCTTCGGCTACTCACATCGAAAATATTTAGGTCATCTGACATTGTATGACATACAGACCCATTTCTATGAATTACTACAGCGCAACAAGCAGTATTGATTGCTATTACAACAATAGATAATATGATATACTACCTTCAGTAATGATAATATAGATTTTCTGATCTGATCAGTCACAAAGAGCGTTGGCAAAACAAATGAAAAGTAATCTTATTTAGTGTATAACTATTAATTACGAAAATGTAATGTATAATTTACAAATGATTTAGTACAATTATTAGAAACTGCTTGTTAATTTATTGACGTACATACTCCATACCTACTTGTATGACTAATATAATATTTACATAGCAATATAATTTGGATGTAAGGGGGCGAACTTCCATCTTTCGCCCCAAGCCAACCTCACCTGCACGCGGTGCATCCTGCTGGTCAACGAACGAGGCTCTGGCGACCGACCGACGGCGGTATATCCGTCCCTTACAAACAGGCGAAATTAAGTACCGCAGGCCGGTGACGGGCAGCAGCGTTACCGGTGCGAAAAGTTTCGCCCTGCGATCGCCAACCCGCCTGCCCAGCGTGGCGATTATGGGCAATACCTCCTATGGGCAAAAAACGAAGGCCACGGCCCCCAGTTCCCGGCAGCCCCACTATTCCTGGTCATGGTGGCGACCATGGTAACGGTGGGGTAGGGGGTGCTAAGAATCTCCGGGCTACGGGAGGCCACCACAACAGACTGACCCTGGCGACGTACAACGGACGCACGCTACGGCTTGACTCGCATCTAGCGCAACTAGAGGTGGAACTTGGGAAGATCAGGTGGCACATACTAGGGTTATGTGAAGTCCGAAGAGAGGGGGAGGACACGATAACTCTCAAATCAGGCCACCTGATGTACTTCCGTGAGGGAGACCAAAAATCCCAAGGTGGCGTTGGGTTTCTGGTTAACAAGTCCCTATCTAACAATGTTGTGGAAATGTCGAGTGTGTCGAACAGGGTGGCGTACCTCATTATAAAGCTCACCGAGAGGTATAGCCTTAAGGTGGTCCAAGTGTACGCACCGACCTCGGCACACTCCGATGATGAGGTGGAGGAGATGTTCGATGATATATCGAGGGCCCTCCACTCCACCACTAGGACTCACTTCAACATTGTTATGGGGGACTTTAACGCCAAAGTGGGAGTACAAAATTGCAGTGAATCGGTAGTAGGATCCCATGGGTATGGAAACAGGAATCATAGGGGACAAATGCTCGTCAATTTCCTCGAACGGGAGGGGATGTTCTTAATGAATTCATTCTTTAAGAAGCAGCCCCAAAGGAAGTGGACGTGGCAAAGCCCCGACACTATGACAAAGAACGAGATCGACTTCATCATGGCGGACAAAAGGCACATATTCAGAGACGTCTCCGTGATTAATAGGTTTAATACCGGTAGCGATCACCGACTCGTCCGAGGCTCTCTGAATATCGACTTCAGAGCCGAACGAGTCCGCTTGATGAAGGCCAGGCTCCGACCAACCCTGTTTCAAATCAAAATGGGATCTGAAGCGTTTCAGTTAAACCTGGAGAACCGATTTGCTGCCCTGGAAACCACAACCGACGTTAACCGGAACCTTGAAAACGTGGTTCGAGTTCTCAGGGAAGAAGGTACGAGATTTTGTGAAATGCAGCGTAAGGGCAAGAAGTCGAAGCTTTCGGAAGAGACTTTAGGGCTTATGAAGAGACGACGTGAAAACCCACCCGTCACTTCGTCAGAGAAGCGGGCTCTAAACCGAGAGATTAGCAAACACGTGCGACACGATCTCCGGTGCTCGAATACCCTTGCAATCGAGAGAGCGATCGAGCAAAACCGGGGGCCAAAAGTGTTCGTACAATCTCTTGGAAGAAGCCACCTGACGAAGTTGACCACAGCAAGTGGAGAAGTCGTTGTCTCGAAGCCGGCAGTTCTTTCGGAAGTAGAAAACTTCTACGGCCGGTTATACGCTTCGCATGCATCTCGACCTGACCCCGGAAATGAGGACTCTAGAGCCACTTTAATACGCCATTACACCGAAGACCTGCCAGAAGTCAGCATTGACGAAATCGAGATCGCTCTTGGACAGCTTAAAAATGGAAAAGCCCCTGGAGAGGATGGCGTTACGACAGAGCTTCTAAAAGCAGGCAGCAAACCGGTACTCAGGGAGCTGCAAAAGCTATTTAACGCTGTCCTGTTTGAAGGGAGAACTCCAGAGGCGTGGAGTCGGAGTGTGGTCGTCTTATTCTTCAAAAAGGGTGACAAAACCCTACTGAAGAATTATCGACCCATTTCCCTTTTAAGCCACGTCTATAAGCTGTTCTCGAGAGTGATCACGAACCGCCTTGCGCGAAGACTTGACGAATTCCAACCACCGGAGCAGGCTGGGTTTCGGAGCGGATACGGCACCATAGACCACATCCACACAGTGCGGCAGATTATACAGAAGACTGAGGAGTATAATCAGCCCCTGTGCCTAGCATTTGTGGACTATGAGAAAGCCTTTGACTCGGTCGAAATCTGGGCTGTTCTGGAGTCCCTGCAGCGATGCCAAGTAGATTGGCGATACATCCAAGTGATGAGATGTCTCTACGAGGCCGCCACCATGTCCGTCCAAGTACAGGATCAGCAAACAAGGCCGATACCGTTGCATCGAGGTGTGAGACAAGGGGATGTTATCTCCCCGAAATTGTTCACAAATGCAATGGAGGATATGTTCAAGACGCTGAACTGGAAAGGACGCGGCATCAACATAAATGGCGAGTACATCTCTCACTTGCGATTTGCAGACGACATCGTCATCGTAGCAGAAACGCTGCAGGACCTACAACGGATGCTGAATGACCTGGCTGACTCTTCTATACGCATCGGCCTACGGATGAACTTGGATAAAACCAAGGTCATGTTCAATGAACATGTACTACCGGAACCGATTGCAGTACACGGCGCTGTTCTCGAAGTCGTTCAAAAATATGTATACCTCGGGCAGACATTGCAGATGGGTAGAAACAACTTCGAGAACGAGGTGAATAGAAGAATTCAGCTAGGTTGGGCAGCATATGGAAAGCTGCGTCAAGTCTTCACGTCGTCGATCCCACAGTGCCTAAAGACGAAAGTCTTCAATCAGTGCGTCCTACCTGTCATGACATACGGAGCCGAAACGTGGACACTGACGGTGCGGCTGGTTCACAAGCTAAAAGTCACTCAGCGAGCTATGGAGAGGGCTATGCTCGGCGTTTCTCTGCGAGATCGAATCAGAAACGAGGTGATCCGGCAGAGAACCAAGGTAATCGACATAGCCCACCGGATTAGCAAGCTGAAATGGCAGTGGGCTGGCCATATTAGCCGAAGAACCGATGACCGTTGGAGTAGACGAGTTCTTGAGTGGAGACCGCGTCTCGGCAAACGTAATGTAGGACGTCCTCAGGCAAGGTGGAGTGATGATTTGCGCAAGATGGCTGGCAGGAGCTGGATGCGAGTGGCCGAAGATCGATCCCAGTGGCGTGCAATAGGAGAGGCCTATGTCCAGCAGTGGACTGAAAAGGGCTGATGATGATGATGATGATGAATATAATTTATTGTATGTTATTGTAACGCATTAATATGTGTGTATATGTTGATAATTCAAAAAGATCTTACATAAGGGCAAAGATGATGGCCGCTGAGTCACAGTAATTACTATGGATGTTGAGGAAATGACGTGTCTCCGACCTCTACAAAAAATCTGATATTCTATGTAGGTACACTGAAATTGTATAAACGATACGGTAGCTGCCTGTATCTAAAACTCGTGATTAAGTCATTATTTATTTATGTGACTTCGAGTGATGCAGTATCACTCAAAGACCGATGATCGTTAGGTATTGCTGTAAATACATTGCGATAGTAATTGTTATTTCTTTTTTTTTCAGATAACATATCAACGTGGTGCTAGCAGATATCGACGACTATACATTTCAAAAAAAAAAAATACCAAATAGGTTAAGAAAACTAAATAAGAGTAATGACAATTATTATTGAGTCCTTTAGATAATTTTTACAAAACTATATAATAAGGAAATATCAAATGAGCATATCTAGTAGAAGTATAAGGATATCATCGGAGACCATGGCGTGCGTCAGCTTGAGAAGTAGCCTGAGGATACTGTGGACGGCGGTGGCGGCGCTCGTGTTCCTAACGAGGAGTAGCGCCGCGCCGACCTTCGGGGGAGCAGATAAGGCGATGGTAAGTCTATTATACTTTTTGCATATACACAAAACATATACACAAACATAGAATGCGAGTGTTCCTTCACAGGAACACTCGCATTCTATGCCTCCTTTACAATATCTTGTATAATCCAGATTATCCCAGTTACCTTCGCGAACGTTTCTCCTTTGTCCGGCCTCCTGAGGTCCTTTCTCGAACTCATCTCAAATCCCTTCTTTCTGTTATACCGCACAAAACTGACTTTTACTCTTTTTCCTTCTCTGTCCACGCAGTAAGATTGTGGAATTGCCTTCCGCCTAGCGTACGCGATGCTAAGTCCATATTTATATTTAAAACCCTTGTTAAGGAACACTACCTTTCTTCTTGCAGTGCAGAGTAGTTATGTTCATATTTATATATTATATGTTATACTTTAATATATGTATATTATTTATGTATATGTATATATACGTTTTATTTTATTTCTGTAGCTCTAGTTTTAGTCTTAGGTTAAATTATTGTTTTGTTTGTTATTTCCTATTTCTCTTTTTCCTGTTGTTTTAGTGTATCACACAGTGTCTTATGTCTCTTACATTTTTCCTTTCGAAGGACTGCAGGAAGAGATTCCATATAGGAATATGCAGTACCTATGTACCTCTGTCTCTGTATTTGTTCTCTATTTACTGTATGTGTGATGTGCATAAATAATTAAATAAATAAAAATAAATAAAAACAGCAGTAAAACTTTTTGCTTGTCTTAGTGCAACAATTAGGAAATATTGACGTTGAAATGGATTTTACGTTGTAACCGCATATAATTTAATATCTCGCTATTCAACTTAATCACCTGTAAATAACGATAGCATTCGACACCTGGCTGCAATTCACTGAAGTAATTATAACTATGGTATTTACTTAATACGGACATCCGCCACGTCCTGCAAATAATCGATAATTATTATCATTAGTATCGGAAACGATATGTAGGTGCGCATAGTTGTCGCTGAGTCAATGTTTCTCGGAACGCCACTCACCGGCGCTTCTGAATTAAATTGAATCTGAGACCCATTCTAGAGTAAGACACATGGAGGTGTTGTAGTAACGTGTTCATTCATAAAACGAGGTAGCCCAGCCGAGATAAATAGCTCGCCTTTCGCTTCGACACTAGAACATTTTGTTTGTCTTCTCACATCGTTTGCTTAACGCGAGCCATGAGTCATGCGCACCATATACGACATGTGTGTGTGTGTATGGGTGTAGCAAGATATTGGTCATTATACTTTTTCAATGGGCGTTACGTCACTGACGTAGTATTTGTAAAATACGTTAAGTTGTTGTGTATGAATCAATGACTATAAATTAATCATGGAATCAACCAACATCCTTCTTCCGAATCCGGTTAGATAACATACGAAAAACATGTATCTTAGCTACTTTTAAGATATCTGTTGTTTCGAATAGTTTTTCTTGGTTATCTTCAACATTTACTAGTTATCTAGACATCTGTTGATGACGTATTTAGAGATAAAGTCATTTTGTTTGTACGTAAGTAACTACATTGTATATTGTGTAAAATGAGAGCGACCACGTTAAGTCGGATTATGTTAAGTCTTTTAAAATGAATAAAATTACGGCCTTGTTCTTAGATTTCGCGATAAAATTGAAATTGCCGTAGTTACAAGAATATGGCGGCGTAATCCAGACGAGTGGGTCAGTTGAATGTTTGAGTGTCGTTTACAATTAGAGAAAGTACATGAGTAAAACAGGTGATAAAAGCACCGTAACGTATTAATGTTCCGTATTTTATTATTACTGAAGTTATGGCGTTGAACATTTCCGCCGTATTTTTACTATCTCAAGATTCTGGCTTTGGTATCTAAGAACATTTATAAGGAACATTTTATTAGTATACTTAAACCAATGAAAGTGTCATACCAATACAATGTAAAGTACCTACTCAATAAAAAAGTTTACTCACAAAACGGACAGTGCATATAAAATTCTAATCGTGGCCTGAGTCACAGTTGGTGCAGTAAGAATTATTACTTCTGCGGGTATTCTAGAGGAGTAAATAATAAAATCTCATCGTTTCTCGGAATCCAAGGCTTGAGTCATGCGACAAGTTGTTGAGCTCGTTCGCCGACAAGTTCTAGGTCATAGAGCACGCTGGCCGGCGATCGGCGACCGCTTGACACTCGGCAACGCAGTGGCCGCACCTTGTCACACATTAAACCCGCGGACACGTATTAGCGGATCGCATAGCGTAGCGGAAAAATTAACTACACGCATAAAAAACTTAAAAGACGAATCTTTAAAAAGAGTAAAGATTTGAACTACATATTGTGTATATCATACCTAATTTATCATCTGAACTGTCCGAAATCTAAAATAGGCTATGTTTATGAAAAAGTATTTAGTCTTCCGCTGCACAAAGCGCAAAACGACTTACGACTTAATGCCACGTAAGTAGACATTTCTATTGCAAACATATATTGTTAATATTTTCTAGTAAGCCATCTTGAATTTAATATTGATCATAAATACGTTGCACTTGGAATATAAATTGGTATTATTATAATATTTTACCCATAGCGTTGTCTATTTCATTGGAAATCGTTTATAAACAAAGAAACATAAATAAGATATATTTACTTGTCATTTTAGTTGGATGAAGACATTTTTACAAAAGGAAAATAGTTTAATAATAATAGCTAGGGAAGTAAATTAAAATTTATAATTATCGAGGTTAAGCTGAAACCACGGAAACCACAGGTCAGAAAAAGTTATAATTTTTAATAAATTATCACTAATCACATTTGTAAATAAATACTATTTATTTAAAGTGATATTTTAATAGTGGTGAATTTACTTAATGAAACTTTACTACTTGACTTTATGAAACATAAATTAAAATCGTATCATATTTGCATTTAAGTAATCACATGGCAAGAACTTTTATACAGATTGATTAGATAGTCTTACAGCCCTTTCTTCTAAAAGCTTTACAATTTAAACTGTATCAGGAGAGTAAACTTAGCTATCAATCAAGTATTCTACATTTATTAAAATATTAATTAGCATTTATGTCATAAATATAATTTCGCGGATATTTAAACAAATTTGGGAATCGTCAAGTTTAATCTAATCATAGTAATTTCGATAAGTCCTGAAAACCGTGTAAAATAGCCGAGGCTGTGTCAAGGTTAGCATGCGTTCCACTGACCCGCTTAGGTACTTGTATGGCGAACTTACGGTAATTATATTCATCACTTTAATATTCCTTCTAGCGCGACCGCTTTCAGTGCTTTCTTATTCATACCGAAGTCCTCATTATACGAGTAACTTTGTTTCTATCTTTTTACCAGCAGACACGCTTCAATAGCCATGTTATTCACGGATATCAACGTACCTACATAAACTCGTGTTCTATATAACAAATATTGTTTATCAATGAGTGTAGTAACAATAACTGTGAATCTGAAGCTCTTTTAATGTGAAGTATTGAACTTTATTGATACGAGGCTTGCAGCAATGTCGACATTGTGCCTGAACAAATGTTGGTAGAGTCACATAATGTGGCGTAATGTTTTACTTGTCACAGCTTTTCGCAACAAAAAGTGGGAACTGATAAGATAATACTATAAATAAATAAATGACTGTGTACCTAGTACCATAAAGAAGCAGGTACCTGGGTAAACTGATAGTCAATTGTGCCTATGTAGGCGGCCACACGCAATAATGTGACAGGAACAATCTGCGGTTTGATTCAATTATTTCCATTAACCGGTTCGCAACATGTAATTAACTTTTTATTTATCTGTTAGGTAAGCTCTTAATTGGCAGCGGATGACACTTGACGATATGGAAAAACCATAAAATATTATACAGAATCACCCAACTCGTTGTCAAGCTGGTGTTGTTTACACTCTCAATAGCTCCAATAAAAATGTCATTCGTCATAATAGTTCCGGATCAAATTATTCCGTGCACTATTACGTACAATGGAACATCAGATGAATTACACTGAAACAACATGAAACACAGAAATGTTCATGCTAACCGAGCAGTAAAGGAAATATTGAAATTCAGAAATCGTTACTAGGATACGGCTCCCGACAGACGAATGTCGTGCATCGGGCATTGTATTCAGTCACGATAAGGTATGATTGTAAGGCAGTGTGCAGCTACTAAAGGTATTTAGGGAACAATTTATAGGTCGTTGTACCTTAACCACGTGATAAAAGCAAGATGTTATGGTTAGCACATTGTCATGGGCCAGGCATTTCCTGCCATTTCAAACAGGTACTGTTATGATAAACGTATCCATATAGAGAGGGTCATTCTCCTGCCCAAGCCTCCTCTAGAGAACAATAGCCGGGCCAGAAAGTGCCAAGAACCTGTGATGTTCTTTGTTTTTATCGTTCGTACCCGACTCGATTAATGCGATATAAAAATTCGACGCGTGTCCCACACGACGAGTTGATATCTCTCGGAAAATTTTCTTTAGATGTTTAGAACAATGAACCGGCGTAACATAATCTTTGACAAGTTTAAATTTATTTTATTGATGTTTGAATTTTAATAAAAGAGATTTATTTTTATATTACATTCTTCCATTGCGTAGTATGCGCATTCAGTAGTATGTTTGCAGAGCTAGTGTAAGTTTATAGCCGTTGGTATATCTAACTGTCAACACCGCATATCTCTGTATCTCACAATCACACCAGAGCCTGCCGACGACCTCGAGGCTCGAGAGATGGACGTGATGAAAAACAAAATATTTTTAACGTACATTGCCACCGACCAAAAGTCTTTTAACCCTGGTCACGATTCACGATCCTGGGAAACAAATATTTTTTTAGGTTTTCGCAGAACATTATATGATAAAAAATGCGATGACGAACTGTGAGTTGTCGCCAGATCTCTTAAAAGATAGTAATAGAGTCAACCTATTAAGAGATTTTGAGCGCTGTATAGACGGAGGATAAATTATTATCTGCAGAGATAAAGTTGAGTAATGTTTGTTCTGCTGGATA